TTTTTTGAGTAAAGAAACTTTACAGTACTTTTTTCTATATACAAAGAATTACAGTACAGGTTTATGGGGACTTCTAGCACAGGGCTCCCCTCTTTCACTAGGAGGTTCACTTCCAGCTGACAGTCTGGGGACAGGGAGAGAGAACACAGTGATGGAACTTGGCTGAAACCTCTTCCCCATTTCTTAAAAATATAAAGATAGCTTTCTAGTCAGCTTTCTTTGCCAAGACCTAGAAAGCTGCTCCTCCACACGCTTCTATGTGCTGCATTCACCCAACCCCACATTCAAGGACACTCGTACAAGGCAGAACCACCACAGCCTAGATATCACTTGCTCTACCCACCCTGGAAGGTTGGACTCTGGGACCCTTGGTTTTTGTTCTGCTCCCTTTGTCTGCCTCTGTCTGAAAAGCTGTACTAAGCTTCCAGGTACTAACTCTGGAGCCCCTTGTCTAATGTTCCAGAGTCACAGGAAGGCAGCTCTAGGGTAAGGACAAGAGCTTAATATGGTATTTTGCTTATGCTGATAAGGCAACACCTCTTTTGAGGCTGTAGGTGTCTAAGATAAACTATTTCCTTAAGAGATATTATGCTTATTTTTCATAAGCAGTCCAGATGCTGCTATGAGAGTGGAAGAGCTAGAGGAGCAGATGATAATGGAGGGAGACGCCCCCCCCCAGCTCTCTTCCAGCCTGTCCCAGGCAGGGTGGACAAAGGCAATGGACAAGGTGACCATAGTCCTGAGAAACTCAGTGGCTACCATCATCTGGATATGGGACCTCTTCCACCTCTAGATTGTGTTGAACCACTCCAGGGTTGGGTTGCATGCATCACTGAGGCTCCCTACCTCTCATAGAGCTTAAAAAACCCTACATAAAATATCTTCTTCCCAAACAGAACCTGGGTTTCCATGTCACCAGAGCCTCAACCCTTGGCAGTGCTTATTTATGCCATGAGATTAGCACCATCATTACGTTGTTTTGTGTACAATGCAATTTGTATTTCGATTTACATTAAAGCAACTTTTGCACTGGTCTCGGAAGCTCGGCTGAGAGCAAACTGGTCATAGCCAATGAAGCTCCTGCAGTAGCTACCTAGCTGCAAGTGACCTGGGATGTCTAACATGGACACTCAATTTTAACAGCAGGAAATAGTCTTGGGGCAGCTTCTGTCCTGCTGTGATCTTGGAGGTTAGGATGCTGGGCCT